CAGCAGGGATACCTGCTACGCTGAGCCTGAAGCGCTGCATTTGAAAAATAAAGGATCTATGGCATTGTCCCAAAGGCATGGGACAGCTATCAGAAAGCATCATCCACGTGCAAGTGGTGTCAGCGTGCCCCAAAGCTTGGCTGTACCTGTTAGCCAAACCCTGGCAGGGTATGTTTAAAAGGAGCATACTGTGGGTGAAACAACAGCGTGGCAATGTTAAACCTATAATAGCTGCCTGCTAATTGCCACATGTAAAAGTGCAGTGCTTGAATGGATGAAAAGCACCCTGCATATGCAGATTGGAGTTGCTGTGTATTCTTGGGAACTGTGGGAGGCTTTAGTGCAGTTTCTTCTTACGGGCTTTCTTAGTACGAGATAAAGTGAGGTGATTAGCTGTGTGGGAAAGCTAGCTTTAACTGTGGGTCTTGGTTAAACCCTGTGCACTTGTAGGAATAGAAATCAACGCTTTGAAGGTATTAAGTTGGCTTCTGCAGTTGTTCTTCACAGTCAAGAAAGTGAACCTGAGCCGGTTCCGGAGGCAGTGATGGAAAGGAGCATGCTTTGCACCCAGCACTGGGCTCTGGGTTCATCTGAGGTGGCTCAGAGCCACGGATGGCAGAGATCCATGGGTATATGTCCAGAAGTACGAGGGTTGCCTGCCCTGCCACCTTCTGACTAGCAGAAGGGATGGAGTCCAAGCACTGTCCCCTTCCCCCAGGTGCCATTCATGTAGCAGAGGGCTGGGACTCGCAGTCATTCAGTCAGTACTCGTCTGACAGTAGGACAGCTGGCAGTTCTGAACTGCATTGTCACTATCTGCTACAGATACAAAGCTCAAAGGGTGCTCAGCAGAGGAGGGGGGAGAATGAAGCTGCAATTTCCTTCTGAATTTGGGTTCCAGCTAGGTAACTTTTGAACAAGGAGGGGGGTCTCTTGCAAAAAAACAAAACCTGCAGAAATCCTGCAGTTCTGGCAGTACGTGTTAAAATGCTCTGAAAATCTCTTGCACAAGTTGATGCTGTCCTGCACACAGCTGAAAGATAGGTAGCATTGATGATATTTGTTTCACCAGCTAAGGAGGACTTGGTCCTTAACAGAAGCACGCATTGTCTGTAGTTAGTGCTTTTTTTTTCTCCCCCCGTAATGGTAGATGCACCGCTGCCATCCCAGGTGAGTATTTGGGCAGTGGAAATAGGAGTGATAGGAAAGCAGGAGGCCCTGCCCTCCAGCTGGATTGCTCTCTTGCCCAGCTGTCTGTGGAGCAGATGTCCATGCATGTCCCAGAAGCCAGCAGGTAGGCACATGGGAGTGTTGTATTTTAGCAAGCTGTGTTGAAGGAAGCCTGGAGTGTAACCTCTGCTTTCATCTTACCCGACTTAACAGGATTTGAGTATGTTTCTTTGTATTCATGTTTTGCTGTATATTCTGCATAAATGAGTTTTTTCCCCCTCTAGGCTGGCTTGTTGTTGTGTTGCTGTTCATTCATTCACGCTAGCTTTTGTTTCCTTGTTTCTTTCCTTTCCCTTTTCCCCCTTAGATCTATCAAGTTCAGAAGGTAGGGCTTGCTTGTTCATTCTTGTTTGCGTGTGTGTGTTCTCTCACGAGTCCTGTCTGCACCTCAGAAAAACTTCTTAAGAATGGAAGATGCACGGCAGGCTTTGTTTCCATGCCTTCATGTTTCCTTTCCTCCCATAGCCTTGTGGAGTGGATAATAAAGGGGAGAGGGGCAAGGTGACCTGTGTGGCTAGGCACTTAGTATCATCTTTTCCACTGACTGTTTGACAAGGAATAAGCAGTAAGGAGAAGAAGAGTTTTGCAAAGCAGCCATCCCATGAGTTTGGAAGCTCGGAGCATGGCTGAGAGCCACGCAGTCGCTTGGCTGTTGAAGGCCAGGTGCATCGTTGCACATACTTCAGGCTGTGCAAGCACCTAATGGGTGCCAGCAGGAATGACTTTTGGATGACTTTGCATGCAGAAAGTCACTGAAGTAAATCAGGGACACTGTGTTTGTGTTTGCAGTTGTTGGGTAAATGAACTGTATGGCCTTTCTTCCAGTGTACCAAAAAATTTCAAACACTTCTATGTTGTTTAATGCTCTGTCCACTCAGTTCAAAGTCATGATCTCTCCCCAGTTTCCATTTCTCACAGTTCTCATGATAATAAGAGCTGTAATGGAGATCACCTGCTACGTAACAAAAGTTTGGGGTTTTCTTTTGCTGTTGTGTGGTTGCAGCACATGAATTGTGCAGTACATAGAGAATAGCTCTAAAGAAATTTCACAGGGGGAGAGAAAGCATGGATTTCTTGAAGCCTGCTCATTTTCCGCTATACTGAATGGTTGTTATCCTGTTTTTTTTGTATTGCTTGCTGAGTGAGAAATGTGTCCCAAAACCACAGCCTGCTTGTGTTGCTCCTGGGCCCTCACTGCATGTTTCCTGGCTCTGTAGCAGTGTGTGTGCTTCTGGAAATGCTGCTCTCTTGTCCATGTACGAAGGCAACTACTGAAATCATGCTCTCATGCTTAATCCTGACTTGGTTAATTTGATGACAAACCCATCTTACTCTTGTATTTATTTCTGGAGTTGCCCACGTACTGGGTGAATCAAATTAATGCCTTCCTGTGGGTCAACAGGCTATCAATGTATCAATCTCCTGTATGGGAGCTAATTTAATCTGCTGCTACTTTTGCAGCCCCACGGGAGACAAAGAAGCTGTTTACTCTTGGTGTCGTGACGTGGATGAGGAGATAAGTGGGTTAGCTTCGTGGCATCCCTTAGTGAGTTTGCAAGTCGAGCAGTTTTACTGGCACTTAGTGAGCAAATCTGATCCGGAATTCTCTCTCAATGGTATTAATGTCATTAATTATTGAATTTTAATATCAATTTTCAGGGTAGAAGAGAACTTGAGTCTGGAAGAGGTATCCAGCTGAACGATGAAGGTGTTATTTCACCTTCCACTCCCAGCAGATCCCTTATGGCAGAACAGTTGACGTAAAGGGTTGGGAAGCATCTGGAGCAAAATAGCTGAAACTTCAGATGCTATTGGCTCAGTCCAGCGTGTGAGATGTGTTGTTTAGGTTCAAATAGAAGTGGTCTCTAGGCTATTGCTTTCATTGATGGTTCTCTTTAGGGGATGTGAAACATAGCTTTGTCACTTCACACGGGTGGAGAAAGAGACAGCCATACAAGTCTTTCAAGGAGTGCTTCCTCATCTCCGTTATGCAGAACTGAATTCGGAAGCCTGTGTCAGGAAGTGGAGAGCCAAGGGCAGGCAGTACGAAATATCAGTGTACTTGTGGGCCCTTCCTACGTGTGAGAAAGGACCCTCTGTCTTTATATGGAGGTTTTCAGGATGCTTTCTTTCCCCTTGAATGTGTGTAGGCTTTTTGTGTTTTTGTTTTAATTGAATCAATTTGTAGCGTCAGAAAACCTTGCTCATTTTTTCTTTGGGAAAGAAGGAGCCTCTAATAAGGCTTTACCTGATCTGATTTGCCACAAAGCATAATCTGTAGGGTCTGCTCTCAGACAGAACCCTGACCAGCTGGAATTCGTATAGCTTTAAGAGCTGGGCTCGCTTTCAGGATGTGATTTACATAAACCTTAATTTTACAACATGCTGTCATACGTATTTTACTTCTGCCTGGAAACAGCTGATCCAAGCACATATGAGGAAGTATGCAATGCTTGGAAAAACAGTAGTTATTATAACACTCTCTCATTCATGTAGTTTAAGGGAGAAGTTTCACTCAAGTGCAGCTTGGCTAGGCATTGCAGTGAGATCCTGGATGTATTTGTGCACACGCTGAGATGCTTTGCAGGATCAAGAGGGGAAGGCATAGAGAAGTGGTTAAGTATCTTAACTGTTGTCTCTTCTCCTTTTTCCAGATAAATGTGTGTGTGCTGTTAAAACCTGCAGTGCAGTGGGTTTATTTCACATTTTCCAAATTTCTGGCCTCAATACTTACTTTCTAGAATTCTTTTTCTGAAGAATTTCAGCTTAGAACTGGCAGCATTCAGAAGTCTTTGCACAGTTTGGGTTTTCCCTGATGTCCTCATGCAGCAGCCCTGTGCGTATTTCACTTTGTAATGGGCTGTCTTCTCTTCAGAGCTATTGAGGTGAAAATAAAGGTGGCCTGAAGGTGAAAATAATAGTGTTGAAAGGAAACTCTGAAGTGGGAATAAACTGATGCTGTATCAGAGAGCTCAGGTGTTTCTTCTGGTTTGTTACTAAGTAGAGAGTGGGGTTTTGGAGTGCAAGTCAAGATACATTAATACCATGGAGTGGCTGCAAAATGCTGAGCTCTGTGAGGAAGAAGATTGCAAATTTTGCTCATCAGTTAATGTTTTACCTGCTCCTGCTCTGCTTCCTCCAGCCTCTGGAAAGCAGGCAAGTGTAGGCACTTTTTCCCCCCCACAAATACACAAACCTCAAAATACATAACCTAAATTGTTCTAAAATACATCTAATACTTCCTTGAGCAGGATTTCCATTTGCCCATTACTGTGCTTAGGCCTGGTGGTTTTCCTCACACTGCAGTGTTACGATTGCCGTTATAAATGTGAGCTTCCTGAGATTAGATTCTAAATGTGTGTTTGGGAAGGATGGAAAATCCTGTTGAACTTGTTGATCTTCAGCAATTTGCTGTCTGCTGGGAATGCAAGGTCAGTGGGAAGTGCAAAAGTTACATCAAGAGCATATGACCTGCACGTGAGTTCAGGTAGGACAGCCTGCTAGGGAAACGTCTGCTATGGTACTAAAACAGAGACCTTTCCAACCTTGCTGCTGTGGTATAAAGGATCCTAAGGCTCTGTTCTGCCATCCGTGCCAAGATGATCAAAACACAGGCAAAAATGAGATCTGTGGATGAAGAAAACAATAGGAATACACAGATTATTTGCATTTTATTCAACTTGTCTTCCCAGTTTGACAGATCTGTGCAGCGAACACAGTTTGACAGCATTTTTCATCCTGGAAGTGTTCTGTGTTCAGGTCGCTTATAATGAGCCTTGACTTAAATGGGTCAGAAATTCAAGACTCATTACGCTCTTTGCTCCTTTCCCTGTGGTGCTGGTTGGTTTTCTTTGACACTGCTGAGCAATAAGGAGCTGTGTAGGGGTCAGACTGTCCTGCTAAATGCTCCTGTCCCTGTGCTGGGAAGTTTTTCTGGGCATCTGCTGCATCAGACATGGCACCCAATGGATGCTGTCACTGGCATGGCCATGAAATCCGCATGTGTGAATCTGTGTGCACTGGCAATGCATGACTGAGTGTTCAGTGTTTGCCTTTCTCATCTAAATTCAGTTTTTCCCTTCTCTGTCTGTAGAAGTATTATGGTCTGGATACTAAATGGGGCGACATCGAGCAATGGATGGTAGGCCTTGATCAACATAGTTAATCAGCTTTTATGTGTTGAAGTTTTGTGCAGTTGGTAGAATTTGAGACATATTTCCATACACTGGAAATACGCTTTTAGCACTCAGGTTCTTGCAATCCACATCAGCATCTGAAACGAAGATTGAATGTGGTATGGGTTTGGTTAGAGCCATCTCTTTTTGCAGACCTCTATATCCGTCCTATTACTTGAAGATTGGATGAGCTTGTAGACCCAATAGAGCCACTAATGCAAGGAATACACACACACACACACACACACACACATATATATATACACACTCTATTTCTTGTGGATTTTGCTACAATTTGAACTTCTTCAAAGCTGTATTCAGGTAAATGCTGGGCAAGTTTTATCTGTGCTTCTGCTGTTAGTTTTGACCATTCCAGACACAGTAGTAGTGGTACTGTGGCAGTGCTCACCTTTTCTGGTCTTGGATTTCATTAGTTGCTAAGCTGCTAGAGTTGGCTTAGCAACTTAGACACAGATGTGGCCGTTAGCAGCATCAGTCTGTTTTAACAGCCATAACATGAGATGAAAGGACTGCTGAAGGGCTGGAGGACATTTCCTTCACGTGTCTGTCTGGCATAAGTTCGTGACATCGCTTAGCAGTGATGCCAGATGAAAACTACTGTTCCTTGCCCTTGTGGCCTTTCTCTGCAATTCAAGGAGTGCATGCTGTAAGAGGCACAGTGGAACAGCTGACTTCCAGCCTGGAAGGTAACTTTTCCTTGATAATTAGCTAGCATAAATATTGGCTTGCTGCATCCCTGCTTAAAACCTGCTGTCCCAGGGAGCAGCCAGCCACTCCAGATGCTCCAATCAGACAGATGAGCCATTTAGTCTCTCCACATAGAATCATAGAATGACCTGGGTTGAAAAGGACCACAATGATCATCTGGTTCCAACCCCCTGCTGTGTGCAGGGTTGCCAACCTGCAGCCCAGGCTGCCCAGAGCCACATCCAGCCTGGCCTTGAACGCCTCCAGGGATGGGGCATCCACAGCCTCCTTGGGCAACCTCCTTTCTGAGTGGAAAAACTTCCTCCTACTATCCAACCCAAACCTCCCCTGTGTCAGTTTAAGGCCATTTCTCTTTGTCCTATCACTATCCACCTTCATAAACAGTCATTTCCCTCCTGTCTGTATGCTCCCTTCAAGTATTGGAAGGCTGTATGGTGAACTTAGCTCTATGTTACGAGTAATTCCCTTGCTTAGAAATCAGCTCACCACTGAAAACCATTAATTCCAATGTTGAAACTACTTTTTTTCCCCTGTTTTTGCCACTTTCTCCAAATTCCACATCAAATCAGTTGACTGAACTGTAACACGTGCCACAGTGTTTGCACAGCCTCTGTCCCTCAGAAGTAGCAATGCTTTTGTAATGTGAAGGGGAAGAAAGCTGGGGTCAAAGAAAGGGGTTTTCTGATTTGACAACACGTTACCTCCCGTTATTTGGATTAACCTTCCTGACTCCAAAACGCTCTGAAGTTTCCTTGTTTCTTTCTGAATGCACTCTGCTGATGGACCTGTCCTTTCAACGCTTCACTCTTTGTTTTTCTCTGCTGCCTCGCTAGGAAGACAGTGAGCGCTATTCGCGTAGAGCCCGAAGAAATGCCTCGGTTAGTATTTGTGCTTTTGCTTTTCCTTTGTAGCTAGGCATTGCTCCTTCATTAAATAGATGGGAGTAAAGCAGTTTCTTTTCAAAAGGAGAAAAAAACCCACAATGTTCCCCTCCCTCCCCCCCCAACTGAATGAAGCCCCAAACCCACATCCTGGCTTCTCTGCCCCCTCTCTCCAGTTATTCTGAAGAGCTCTTGAGAATGTGCTAAATAAAGGGGTGGGGTGGAGGATGGGGAAATGACCTGCCTGGAGTGTATAACATTTTTACATTCAACCATGGGCTGTGATCATAAAGCTGGGAGTAGCTGAGCAAGCTTGTAATTTGTCCTGTAGTAAAATGCTGATTGTTTCTTGGGCAGGATACGACTTAATTTACTTTTTGCTTGGAATTTAATGCCATTCTTTTTAATTCTTCAAGTTTTATTTCCTTTCTTTCCTTCTGTCCCATCAAAGCTCACCCGTGTTTACATCATTGCCTGTTATTTACGTTCATTTCATTGTTTTCTTGTCTTTGTACTTTCTTTTGATAGGCTTCGGATGAAGATGAGCGCATGTCAGTGGGTAGCCGTGGAAGCCTGAGGGTTGGTAAATTGTACAAATTAAGTGTGCATGTGTGTGTACTGAAGCTGCTGTCCTCCTGTACCACAGAATCATTGTTCTGCACCTTTTCTAAGTTCTCTGCAAACACCTTCCTTCCAAGGTCGTGCTGTTTTCTGTGCTCGAGGCGTGTGTTTTTGCACTGCTACATTTGGGCCAGTAATTCCTTCAAGCCAAGGAACTGTCTGATTTCTATTCTCTGTTGAGAAACGTGAGCAAAGCATTGATGCATACCCTTCTGGTTAATGCTGCTCACTGCTTTGTCACAGGAAGAACTTAGCCAAAACTTCAGCCTGTGCAGCCATTTGTGCCTTGTAAGCTCCGTTACTTGATTGTCAACATGGAGAATTTGGGTAATAAAGTGCCACACGGAGTTCTGGGGAGGGATTAGTAGGGCACCCGGTGCACAGTGCACCACTGCTAATCTGTAGAAAAGCCTACAACACTTGTTCTCCAACTGTCAGTGCAGTGGTTGTCCATATAATACATGTGTACAAATCTTAGGGTAAACACAATCAGCCCTTGTAATTGTGGGGCTAGTTAAGCAGTTTAGCACTTAGCAGCTAATGCTGCTGTCTCAGTGTGTGTTGATGGTCTTTTGAAGATGGTCAGAGCCCACTGCTTCTGGGATCTGTGCGAAGCATTCAGCTGGCAACACAACAGGAACAGCAGCAGGGCAATGCAGGGAGCACCCAGCAGTTCTGAACGCAAATCAGCTGCTGTTTGTTTTGGAGTCAACTGTGCCTAAAACAGATGTGTTTGAGAATAACTCCATCTTCCGCTGATGCTGTTCCCAATTTATCACTGGTACGAGTTAGATGATTTAGGCTGGACAGTCAGTTTTGTTTTTATAGATCAAGCAAGACCAGTATTATTCTCAGCAAGGTCTGCATTTCTTATCATTGTGTTCATTTGGAAGGCTTCTTCCTGGAAATCTGCTATTGATTCCTTTGATGCATTTTTATAATACGTACCTGATTTGTTTTTATATACTTAAACAGGAGCCTTGCATTCTGTTCCCCACAGTCCCTGGAGAAGCTTTCCTGACACGTTCTCCTGGAGCAGTCCTTCACTGGGCTGTCTGATCACCACTGCTCTTCTGCCAAAGAGGGATCTCCCCTGCTGTAGGGGATGGCCCATAAATACCCAGTACTTCTGCAGAGAGTGTCCTTTTCTGACAGGACGATCTGGTTGAAGCTTTACATCCTGCTATTTCCAATGATGTTGCACAGATTCCCCGCTGCCCCCATAAAGTAGCATTGTGCAAGGCATCTGACAATTGGGGCGTGCAGAGGAAGGGCTTTGACAGAGCCTGGTATATCTGAAGGCTTCCTTTCCTCATCCAGTGCCACTGGGATTGGAGGAGAAAGGAAGAAATAAACCTGCACGTTCATTTAGCCTGGTTGGAGAGTTACCCTTATGCTTCACGTAGGGTTTTGTGATGAGAGCACACACTGATTGTTTTCCTAGCGTGGGTATGCAGCAGCTTGTTTGAAGTGTGACCACATCTGGTTGTGAAAGTTTGGCTCCTGCTGTGCCCGTGTAAAGCAAAGAAATAACTGAGCGACGACCAATTGAAAGTCACCTTTAGGGACATCTGAGCTGCTTTAGCATGAAGGAAGCGCTGTCTGTGTCCATGCAGGGTTCATAAAACTCAACAGTGACTGCTCTTCGTTTTTGGATATGTAAATACTTTCTCCTTACTATTTCCATTGTGATTGCCGTTCAAGACTTTCCCTTTCTGATAGCTGATGTTGTGTTTTTGGCACTCCGGGTCCCTGTGGGGCTGGTTGCAGTAGGAATTACTCTTTGAAGCAGCCATTCTTTTCCAGCCCTCAACGTGGGCTGCACCAGAGGTGTTGGTTAGAGCACAACAGCCAAGCGCTTGAAGCTCTGCAGCTGGGCTGTGCTGCAGCCAATAGCCTATGAGTTATAATGCTGTCCCCAGTGCATCTGTGCCTCCTGCAGGGAGACTGTGGGCTGCAGAGGTTGGACATCTTTAGCAGCTTTTCCGTGGCTCATCCTGAAGCCATCAATAATATCCTGCCTTTCTCGTTTCTTTCCCATGCGGTTTTTCTTAAGGAGGCTCGGTAGCACCAACAGTGTTTGAGATGCTGGTTTCCTTCAGTCTTTACTGCAGGCGCCTTTGTTCCCCCACTTCTCAGCTGGCTGTCATCCGAGACTCCAGCACGTAAGGCTGCTGCTATTAGTCACTCAGGACACAATTTGGGCACGTTTCCTTGCTTTGTCTACTCAACAAAGTTCCCAGCTTCTGGCTTTGTGCATCACCAGGATTATTTCTGTAGGATTTTCATCTTGTAGGGGATGAAGGAGATTGATTGCCATCATTTGCTTCACTCTTTTCTGTTGTTCTGATTTCTGTTCTTTTGACAGTCTCATGTGGAGTTTGCCAGCGCCTACCCAGTGGTGAGAATAGCCTGAAAGTTACATTGTGTGTTTAAAAACTAAGTGTGGGAGGAAAAAAAACTAACATCAAGTGTGATAGCTCATCTAAGGTGAGGGATGAGCAATAATACAACTCATCACAGGATGTTCATTGACTGCATTGAGGTAGATCTGCATCTCAGGGGCACGGGAAGGACCTAGTAGGGGAAATGAATGCTGAGACTTGAAACTCGGTGTTTAAATCTCCTCACACTGTTAGCTGTGCTGTTTTGTGCCAGTGCTGTGCCAAATGGGAGGTCGGTCTGTTGCTGCTGGGGAGAGCAGTTTTACAGACTAGCTTGTTTTTTTTTTTTCCCCACTCTTCTTCCTTCCCTGCCCTATTTCAGATTAGGAATGCAGTGAATCTATTTGAGTGACCTATATACAGAAATAGTCCAAACACATTTGGATTTTGCATGGATGTATTGATGTAGTAAGTATAGACAGCTGGTAGCTCAGTAAATTGACTTAATCCAGCAAGCATGAATAATTTTAACTGTAGCTACTAAATTTAACAATACTATCATCACTTCTAACCATATTCTCTAATAACTGGCCATTTGACTTTGAGATCTGATTTTTTTTCATGTGTGCTTACTGAGCCATGTTCTGTAGAGCTGGAGAGATGCTGAACTGATGGATTTGCTCGATGCTGTGCATGCCTGGCTGTGGTGTGTGCACGTAAATGCACTGATCTTTTCACCCTGCATTCTTAATCTCACTGCAGGCTGGATTAGAAAATGAGAGGACCAAATGGAAGAACTACTCCAAAGCAGTATGTATCTGTCTGGCTGAGGCTTTTGTATACAAAAATGCTGTGATGAGACTAGAGAAGCAAGTACGCTGGCTGTAAGGTCTCCAGCCCAGTATCAAGGATACGGTGTAACTCACAATTTGCCTCCACAGGAATGCCTAGAATTGCTTTATCTGTAAAGTGTAGCATGATCCAAAGGTCTGTGTCAGTGTTGTACATAGAGAGCCTTCTGAAACACTCAAAATCTAGCTCAGGCTTTAATATTACACATATAAAAAAGGTAAAGTTGATGGTAAGTATGTGTAGTAAAGACTGAATCTTTTCAGCTGAAAGAAGCAGTATTTTTTTCATGCATGAAAGTAGTAGCTTAGCAACTTCATTTACAGCTTCATTTGAATACCTAACAATTGGGTAAGGCTTCAGGAGCATAGCATTTGCAAATTAGATGTACATTAGCTAGGGGTGCTGAAGCTTTTGGCTAGAAATAATATTCAGGAGGCTGATGGAGCTTGCTCCCATCCCACATTGTCTGATTGTTGGTAGCACAACTCTTGGAGTTACTTTCAGATAGGGATGTTAGTTATCCAGCACAACACATGGCACGCTGTGAATGGCAGTGCTTCCAGCCAGGTACTGGGCATGCTGAGCTGGTGAAACACCAGGAGAACTCAGTTGCCTGGGTTTTGGAAGGAAATCAATCTAATGACGTGCTTCCCTTTAATGCAGTGACATTCTGACGTTTCTTTACTGTAACTTGGTAAACATTAGTGTTTCTCAGGAAACCTGAAGGCAATTGACTTTGCCTGGAATTGCCCTAGGAGGACCTGCATTGCAAAGCTAGCTCTACATGGAAGATAAAGAGCAGCACTCAGGATGTCAGCTGAAATCTCAAGGGGAGAGATTCAAGGAACTGAGAGAGAAAAGGATGAGTTCATAGCTCTCTCCAGTATGCCATCCTGTTTGTTTCAGTTTTCATAAAGGTTTTGATCAGATGCTTAGCACAAAACAAAGGTCAGCAAGATCTGATGAAACTCATCCTGCAGAGCTTTGACTGGAGCATTTGCCTTTGGAAGTGTGAGCTGGAGAGTAGGGAACAGTGGTCATAAGTGGTCATAGTGGCAAAGGAAATGACCACATCTGTAATGCTTCAGTTTGAAATCTAAAGGGTAAGAGGGCAAATGAAAATAATTGTATTGAGAAGTGCCTCATTAACAGCAGTAGATAACCTGGATTTGTGAAAAATGAATCATGGCAATTCAACGTAATTTCCCAAAGCAAGGTAATTATTAAAGAGCATAGAGGAGAAGCATTAGATGAAACTCTGTGACTCCAAGGATGTTGTGCTTCTGCTTAACACTCCCGAGTGAAAGCTTTGCCAAGATCAAGTTCTTTTAAAAGAGATGCAGTTAGCTGGAAAATAGCTTTTGAAAAACCTAGCAGCTGGAAAGGATCTCATCTGGGCTCTTCCCATCTAAGACAGCATTGTCTGCTTATCTATAGAAGTCTGTAGCACCTGGTTATCTGCATATAGAGAGCAAGGATGTGTCCTGGAGGTTGGAATAATAGGTAGATTAGTTTAATGTTGTTCTTTTCCTTTAACTGTATGGTATATGGTATCTCTTTGGCTTGAAAATGGGTTCAGAATGGGCTTAATGACTTCAACTGTCTCTGAATCTCTTATTCACTCTGAGCACGTTTGTGTTTTCTCCTCTTAGAGCAAGCTTACGTGCTGCAACAAGGCAGGGTGTTGAGCATGCAGAGTTAGAACCCACTGAAACCCCTTGCAGTCTTTGTGTTGCCTTGCCAAGCGTTGGCAGGTGGTGGATGGCCGCTGTCTGGGGTTCGTTTTGGTATAGGTGGGGAAAGCCAAAAAGAGATTTCATATATCATTCTTTGTCAGCTGAACAGAATTTCTTGGATATAAATTTAAGTTCTTAGCTATAATCTGCTGCTTTTTAAGGTGTTCAGCTGCCAGGAATGTAAGTAACTACTGTGATATATTTATTATACTCTCCCGTCCCTTGTGTTTCCTTTTCATCCTCTGTTCTCTTTACAAAGAGTTTGAAGAGTTACAGGTGTTACAGTGCTGTAACAATGGGGGAAGCAGAGGTTTTTCTTAACAACAAGAAGAAAAGGGTCAAAAAGGCAGGCAGGAGTATCCTTGACATTTTTTGGCTGGTTTGCAGATAGCGACGGACACAAAAGTGTTCACATCCTCACGTTTGAAACCCTGACCTAGTTCTGCACTTCTGTTCATGGTGAAGCTTTGAAAAGTTCTCTTTCTGCTTTTGCTTTTCATAAATGATGGCTGTCACACAAACTTGTCTGTTGGGACTGCATCAGTTTCTCTCCTTTTCTTTCCTTTTCTCCCCTTTCTTTCCATAACAGACCAATGGTTATGAGGAAGACGTGTATGGATCGTCCCAGAGTAGAAAATCTAGCAGGGTTAGTATACTGTAGTATGATTTATATTGCTCTAAAATCTGTTGCTGTATTTAAGGGGATTAAATCTAATTAGCGAATTCTTTTGTGTGGTGAAGCAGGTTTTTCCTGCCTTGCATGTTGCGGGTTTTGCAGTTTCTCAGATGTAGAGGTGCAGCAATAAGCTGTTTAAAGAAAAAATAAAACTAGGTCGTGAGTGAGAAAGGAAGTCTCTGCATTTGATACAAGTAGAACTTGGAAGCCGGAATTGCTTAACTTGTAATCAAAATTGGGTAAAAGTTGAACTGTAGCAAGAAATATCTTGATGGCAGGAAGGGTTTGCAGGTGCTGTCTGTGCAGGTGCTGCGTATCAGAGCTTGTTTTGCAGCCTGTGCAATGCACTCACATCGTGTGCAAGGCTGAGACTCCCTAGCCTGGCAGTACTCAGTGTGCATTTGCACATGGGCACTGCAATTGGCCTTTGGACTTTCCCAAAGCGTTTGCTGTTCATGTGAAGTTTGCTTCACAAAGCACTTGTTTGTTTTCTACATCACGTAGAGGTGAACAGCCAGTGAAAGTGTTACTGCTAAGCTGTGTGATATCACCATTGATGTACTGCATTGCTAGGAATGTTCATAGAAAAGCTTACTGGGATCTCCACCATATGGTTTTATGCATCTGGCCTATATGTTTTGGTAAGAGAAGATGAAATGCTGTTGCTTAAGCTGTTAAGAAACAGCATGTCCTGCTGCTGGCCCTCTTGCTGAACTGTTGGGAGTTCAAGAAGCCTTATGTAGTGCTTCTAATGGTGTTCTTGTTCTTCCGTGACACATTTCAGGTGCAGGAAGAGCAAAATGTGTGTAAGAAAGTCATCCAGGGAAAAACACTGCTTGGGTTCCATTGGAATGATTGAAAATCCTCTTGGTATGATAGGGATAGAAGAAAGACCTTTCACCTAAGTCTCTACCTCACAGATTGAAAGGATGAACTATTTTCACATGTCCTCTTACCTTGAATGCAGTTTCCTTAATGCAGTTACCTTTTTGTACCTGTGATCACCTGGACTTCTCAGTGTTCTTAACCAGTGCTCTTCCTAATGTACGTTTTATTTCCCACTTGAGGGAGTTTAAAGTCGTGTTATTGAGTTCTCAAGGGCTTTTTGTTTGCAATTAATGCAGGCTTCATACTACCCTGATCTGGGTCTTCACAACAGTGGCTATGCTTCCACGTCTCAGCCTTCTTCCCAAAATGGAAACTGGGTCTGTTGTCCACTGGTTTCGCCTGGCCTGTGCTTCTCATTCTGGCTTCGTTTGGATAATGTGACCTCTTGTATAAGAAATTAATCTGCACCAGTTGTCAGGAGTTGTAGCTCTTAGTGAAACTGCCACAACCAAAAAGAAAAATCCCAAAACCAAAGCAATGTTTTTGCTTTAAGATTGGAAAGAGTAATGGCAAGCCATTTTCACGTGGGCAGAAGTAGTTTTGGTTTGGTGCTCCTCCCTTTCCAATGGTTAATTTTCCTGCTTTTGGCCTAAACTGCTCTGCAAAAGTAAAGGAAACATCAAGTTCTTCAGGCAATTCTATTTGCCTGAAGTGATGCTAGAAGCAAAATTCCACAGCTTCCCAGTACCCTGAGAGGTTGCATTGTCCTCTGCATGCGGATGGGGCTGGGCAGCAGCATGCTGGTGCTCGAGCAGTGTTCTGAGCAGGACAAGGCAGTGTCACCGTGCTCCTGACAGCTGGGGGTGGCACCAGGCCTGTGAGCTGGAATTGCTGCTGGAGCATCACAGCAGTACGTGCCTGCTGCCCTGAGGTGTGCAGTTGATTACTAACAGTGCTCTGACTCAGGTAGTCATAACCTCGTCCTGAATAACTGGGGTTTCTCGGGGCTAAGTGGCAACACGCGAGAGGTGGAACACTTACCATGTATAGCTTAAAGTATTTGTCTTTGCACGTAGCTCTGGTTTTGGTTGAAGTGAGGAGAAACACCCTTTCTGGCTGCTGCACACAAATGTGTTGGGAGATAATAACAATAACCTAAAATTAAATTATGCTCTTGTGCTTCTCTATGCTTTGGTGTCCTCCCTTCCTGTAGGAAATGCATGTGTGCTTGGTGTTCTCACTCTTGAGAGATGAAATCTAATGCTTTTATGTATCAGACAACTAACATTCTTTATACTGGGTTTCCTTCTGTTATGGTGTAATAATCCTAACCTTTTACCTGTTGTGAATTCAGCTATAGGCATCCTTCTTTTGTTGTTGGTTTCATTTTCTATGCCAAAAAGTGTTGTGCTTGTCTTCCTCAGCCCTCCTTGCTGTACAGCGATGCCCTGCCAGCCAGAAGTTACAGGGTTTGTTGTACTAACACTCAAAACACAAATACTGAAGCCACTCGCTTCCAGCCATGCACATACTGTCTTTTACCTCTGTAGTTCTCATTGGCTCCATTTCTTTCACATCCTGGTTTCACCTGTCTGATCCATGTGAATGCACGTGTGCAATGCTGTTTGTACATCAGACTTGCTGATCCTTCCTCTTACACCCATTGGAATTTTACAGCTGCTGCTCGTGGAGTTGTGGAGCTTCTGTGGGCTTCCCTTTGGATGCAGGCATCTTTATTTTGGTGTACCCTTGAGATGAACAGGGGCAGGCTGGAGAGAGGCAACATCAATTCTTCCTTGCTAGCCAAATTCCATGGTTCTTGTTGAAACCTAAACTGTGGGTGATGCTCGTTTTAGTTCTCAACACTTCAAGGCAGAGTTGCTTCTGCTTCCTGAACTGGACACTCCCAGGGTGAACTGGAGCCCAGTCTGCATCTTCCTCCTTTTTTATTAGTTTGGAAAACCAGTTCATCATTGGGGTTCTTGTGGCATCGTGTGTTTTGTGAGCACCAGAAATGAAAATCAAACAGACATAAGAAACTTAAGAATTGATGTAGCCATTTTGGTCACGGGTAACATGAACAGTGGAATCGGTGATGGACTAACTGCTAGAAATGCACGGCTATGTGATGGGTATGGGGGAGTCATTCAGGTTTTGCACGTATGTGGTGGGGTTTCCCAGCCTGCTGACTTCAGGTTGTGTTAATTATTCACATGCATGCTGCTTGTGGTTGTTTGCAGGAGATGCTCTTCATTCCCCTGTGTCCTTGCACCGTGTGAATCTGCAGTGCTACAGAGTGAAAGCAGAAACTTAAATCTGCCAGGATTGTTCTGACTCTGTCTTTTACTTGTAGGCGTCTGTGTATGACGAGAGTGCTTACAGCGGGAGTCGTCGGTGTAGTGCCTCTAGTTCTCGTGCTGTAAGATGTTTTCTGCATTTCCCCCTTGTTGTGTCTCTGTCCTTCAGTAACTGTCTTTACCAGAACGCAGGCTTTTTGGGGCTGAGGAGTGTTCAGGACGGACTGTGACAGACTCACAGCCTGCTGCTGTAGCAAAGTGCAAGCGCTGATTCCGTGAGCCTGCACCAAATCCTAAATTCTGAGCTACGTGGTGTAGCAGTGCATCATCGCCTTGCTATGCAGGTAGCAGAGCCCAGCAGCAGGCGGTGTCACTGCTGCAGCAAGGGGAGCTCAGCTCTGCCCCTGTGCTTAGCTTCCAGCTCAGGTACCTTGGCAGAAAGTCCCTTCGCTCACGGAGACCTCATTTTTCTTCTGCAAACTGAGATTAATATAGATTAAAAAGGAATCTTGCTTCCCACCATTACTCTGTTAGCGTGCAGAGCGTGACGTGCACAAGCATAGCTGTTAATGTGTAAAAACTGCAATGTAGTTGGCTTGAAGGAGGAAACAGACTTTCAAGAATGCCCACTGTTAGGCATTAAAGGGCCCCCCGTTGCATAATGCTGCCCTGTGCATCTTACTGCTAGTGATCTTAAGCTTCAAATTACTTTTTGTTTCCCAATTACGCCTTGTTTGCATTTGGCTGTCTTGTGGAATGGTCTGCCTGCATTTCAGTGGATTTGTTGTTTGCGCTGCCCTAAGCTGGTTGCATCCTTTGTATGACAGGTCTTCCTTTGTAGGTAAACATCTCAGAGCACCATTTGACACAGTTCTGATTTGGGGAGAAGTAATTCCCAGTGGACAGCTTGAGAGCTGTTTACAAGCCCCACTGCTAATGGGCTGAAGATGAAATCAACTCTGGTGCTTGTTCCTCTTCATCTGTCCCCATCCAGCACCATGCTGCATGTCCTGTGCATCATAACCCCTCTGGTTTCATAGAATCCTAAAATGGCCTGAGTTGAAAAGGACCACGGTGCTCACCTAGTTTCAACCCCCTGCTATGTGCAGGGTCGCCAACCAGCAGACCAGGCTGCCCAGAGCCACATCCAGCCTGGTTTGTGTTGCACAGTGGTCTGTACAAGAGTGAGAGCTGAAGCATGCAACTTCAGCCTCACGTGGCACGGCTTTGTCACAGCTGTGGTGTTTCCAGTAGGCATTTCAGCATCACTGAAGCCCATAGCTCTGCTGTCAGAGGGTAATGCAGTGTGGATGGCTTTGTGGTCAGTAGTTATGCCTGTGTTGGACTGTATTCAGGGTTGTTTCCAACTACTCTGATAACATTTGTTAGTACTGTAAGCTTCATTTATGCTGTGCATGATGGAAGTCAACAAAACAGACCTCCAGTAGAGAAGGCCTGGGTGTCTCAGTAGCAGTTTTAGGGGACTCCTGTAGTGTCCAGGCAAACTAATGGAGAAACCTCCAAATACAAAAAGAGTAGATGCATATCAAAAGTACAATAATTCTTTAGATTTGATATCCCAGAACAGAGGACTGTGAAAGCAACTCTCAGAGGTCACACATCTCCTCAAGGTACTGGGGACTGAACTGGGGCTTGTTGCTGCCCTGAGCTGCCTGCTTCCTCTGCTCAGTGCCAGGCTTTGTGCAGATCTGATGCACTCACATGACCCTTTGGAAGGGCCACAGTGCCTGGAGGGGGTGCTGATAGGAGAAACAATATGTCTAGCAGATACCCAGGGACTTGGTTCACTTGTGTCTGTTCTGAATGTGTCTCACTCTCCCACATATGCTTATGTTCTACAAAACCTTGTTCTAATACAAGATTGAGTACAAAGCTGCTGCTTGGAAATTGCAACACACAGGGAATAGTTCTAAGATTAATATACAGGGTAAGTTCTGGGTCTGTTTCCCTGCTGCTTCAAACTTTCGTTTCCATTCTGTACTCCCACTGCATTATAAGCTCTGAAAACAAAGCAGGATACGTGCATTCTTTGCCCTTGTCAGCAGCAAGCCAGCCCTGTCTGCTCTGCATCACTGCTTTGGTATTTGCTTTTATGAAGGGCTAAAATACTTCCTTTGGCAGGAGGTGAGGGCTGCAGGTGCTGGAAAATCTGCAGCTCTCACTGCAGACTGAAGGTTCTTCAGTCTCTGAGATGGTCTTGATTTCCTGCTCGAATCACTGTGGAGCTGTCTGGTTATTGCTTTGGCCTGTGGAACATGGATTCATTTTATATGTGTGCAATGTTGGAAGAGCAAGAAGGCTTTCTGGAGAGCCCCGGAGCTCTCAAAGACAAGTAGGATTGAGCCTTTTGTGTAGAAATGGAGGGCTTTTTGATTGTGAATGGTGTCCTAAGGTATTTAAATACAAGTTACTGTTCTTGTTCTATCATACTCTGAATTGAATCAAAACTCTTTCCTTGGTAAACTTCAACTAGAATTACTGTTTGCCCTTTATTTTTCCTTCAAATTAACACCTGAAGTGTCTGTTCTCTGACTTTAACTGCTCTTCCTTTGTCCAGCTGCATGTACCCATGTAACTGTAACTATGCAGTGCTTTAATTTCTACCTTGCTTCCTTTCCCACTCCTAATTCTTTTCTCTCCTCTCTGCTTGCTGCTCCTGGATTGCTCACGGCAGCCTTCAGAGTACAGCTGTTACCTTGGTTCGGGATCTCGGGCGTCCTCAAGAGCCAGCTCTGCTCGGGCCAGTCCAGTGGTGAGCTCCTCTGTTTTCCTGTTCTATTTCTCTGTCCTTCACGCTCTTCTCTGCACAAAGAGGTCGTTGTCCCTCATGAGACAGTTTTTGATTCTATTAATTGGGCCATCTAGGTGATACTAGAGACAAAGAAGGGATGAACCAGATGAGAAGTTACCAAAACAAAGGGAAAATAGAACTGGCATTCTTACAGGAACCTAGAGGGTTATTGTAAAGACACTAAATTGTATAGAGATTTAAGCACGTTGGCAAAGGATATTGAGGAAAAGATTGCACTGTTGATGGATAGTGCTGCATCTCCTGTGACTGTTGCAATCAGGAAACCCTACAGCTTATTGCAGCGTTCCAGTTTCTCTCCATTAGCAGTATAGTGGTGTTGCTGCAGGGCTATCTAGAAATTGGAGTTGAACATACTTGTAGACTGCCAGACGAGCAGAGTCTCTAGCATCATGAAGTGCTGGAGGTAATGTGTGTACTTAGCTTGGACAGCATTGTGAACTCCTGGGCGGTGGTGGCCAGGCAAGGCATAAACACTAAAGGCTGTGCAACTCCTGTGACTGTAGTTGGCCCAGACATCTACTTTTTCCCCTGCTTCTTACTGATAGAAAGTAGCTATCTCCTATTTTCAGTGGCACGTTGCTGTTTTCTCCTGTTCCATCTAGTTGTCCCCACCTCTGAATACTTTGTTGTTCGTTTCAGAGCAAGGCCTGATATTGTGGTGACAGCTTTCCTTTTACAGGAAATGTGCAGCTTACAGTAAGCTCATCTGTAACCAGTCAGTCTTCACAGAGTGTGTTTGGAAGTGTGGCACTGCATTTTGGCGCTCCTCTTAGTGAAGCAGTAATGTGGTGATGCAGGACCTGTTACGGATTGCCTATCACATCCTCAAGATGCAGAGAGATCAGGATGGTGGTATGAATTAACACACGTAGCATGCCTCTCTAGTCATAACAGATTGCCTTGGTGGCTTTTAAAGGGGGATATCTGGATACTCAAGCTAGCAAAGCAAGAAGCGAGGTAGGCTGTACCATGGAAATCTGGAGTGGTGTTTTTCAGTAACACAGACTGCCTGCAGTGATGAATGGCATCATATCTGGTGTCTTCCATCACACAGTTCCCCCCAGGCACAGCCTGCAGTTTGGAAATGCACTTTTGGCACTTTGTTCCACAGCTGGAACTGCACAGAGTGCCTGCAGCGTAGCGGGGATGGGTGCCTGAGCTCTGCCCACATGTTTATGCTGCTTACCTTCAGCAGGGAGTGGGCAAAGGCTTCAGGTCATCGAGCAAACCCTGTCTTTCCATCTGAGAAAGGTGCTGAATAAAGTTTGTGAATAGAGGCCTTAAAACTGGATTTTAATTTTTCACAAGGCAAAAAAAAAATAATTAGTACAGCTAGGGATGCCATTACAGCCCTTGAAGTGTAAGAATTGGTTGTCCCTATGTTGACATTAGCTTCCATTATGTGTGGGTTTTTTTGCACACGTTCTGAGTCGTTAGTGCAAGTTGCTCTTAGTAATAACAAAACACAGTTTGTCCCTCCTGGGACTGGTAGGGGATTTTTCTTATTTTAATTCTCTGCTCAGAGTTCGGACTGTTTGCATGCAAGTGGGTGGAGGTGGTTTGTTGTGTCAGCCCAGAAATTGGAGAGATGCCACACTGAATTTGGTCTGCAAGGAGACAGGAAGCACTCAGGGCTGAACAGGCTGAGTTTCCAGCAAGCTTTTGTCACCTACCGGTTTGATAGTTCACTATCTGTGTGCTGTGATAAAAATCAGTGCCTAACACTGAAGGTGGATGTGATTTTTCTTAATGTTTGTGAGGCAGATGAATGGAATCGAACCATTCCTTAGCTTGATTGACTCTCGTGAGGAATTAGATATTGAGAAAACTTTTGAACTCAGCTTTGTGAATTAAAGAGCCCGATATGCTGTCACTGAAATCCTCTCTGAGGATTCTGTTTCTCCCTCTATCACTGTTCATTAAGCAGCATGCCAGAAGCTACAGTAAGTTTTGCCAGCTTGTGGCTGGAGATGTAGTGCCCCTCAGCAAGGGCAGGCCTTGGGATGTGAATCAAAGCATGGCTGTGAACGGCGTTTGTCGTTTGAAGAAGCTTATCGCATTCTTGCCAGCAATGAAATGAAAACAGCAACAGATTTGTTTTGCATGCAAGCAGTTATCTGTGTGCTGAAGCTTTACCTTTTCCTTGCTCCAAAGGATTTACGTTGGGCGCTGGCAGGGCCTGCATCTGCTTAGACCTCTCCAATGCTCCCTCGTGTTTCCGACACTGATAAGTTTGTTTAAACAACGAGCTTTGGCGTAGCATGCATTCCTGAGTGAGGATAGTTGTGACAGATCCACTTGAGACCTGACAAAGTTCAGCAGTGTTTTTCAGTGCTAATTGCTGGAGTTAAGGTGGCTCTTCCTACCAGACAACGTTCAGGATCCCTGAGCCACCGGGAGCCCATGCCAGGCAGCCAGAGGTGTGCGGTTGTGGCTGGATGGGTTGCTCTGCTGGCTCTTCAGTGTGGGCCACTCTTTTTCTTTCAGGCCCTGCTGCTTCAAGAGCAGGAAACGATCTTAACTAGATCTGTCACAGCCGAGGCCTTGCTTTTAGGAGGAAGAGATTAAGTGCAAGATCCAGGAAGACCTGATAGTGCCCTTTCAGTATGCAGAGAGAGGTGCGAGAAGGAAGGGCATGGACTCTTTAGCGGGGTCTGCTGTGATAGGACAAGGGAAATGGTTTCAAACCAGAAGAGGGGAGATTTAGACTGGCCATAAGGATGAAGCTTTCTACAGTGTGGGTTATGAGGCACTGGCACAGGTTGCCCAGAGAGGTGAGGGATGCCCATTGACTTAAAGGTATGGGTAACTTTTCCTCTCCTGTGTGCAGCTGGGATGTATAGCAGAACTGCCACCAGGCCTTAGGGCTGCACAGGAGGTATTGGAGCACTTGTGTCAGGCACACTGCAGTGCTGCTGCAGCTCACGGTCTGTCCTGGGCAGTCACTGACAGAACAGCTTCAAGGGTTAGCCTGCCAGTCCTGTGCTGTGGAGAGGAGAACTTTTTCAGACACTGTGCTAAAATGATTTTAGTGTCTGTGAAAAATAGGCACTATATCCATATATAGGCTTGCAGGATGGTTTTGCTCTTGTGAGGTTTCCAGCTGTGGTAAGCCTCTGATATTGCTGACATTTTTGTATCGGGCCTCGGGATTTATTTGATCTAGCTTTGAGAAGAGGCTGAACTCTGATCCCACTCACTTCTTTTTACAAAGAGCAGCCAGTTGCTCTTGCCAAAGTAAAGATGGGCATGCTGGGGTTCCTCAGAAGATTGCCTCCTTTACCTTGTTTTGTACACTAAGACACGAATTGCTCAACTTGTTGACAGGGAAGGAGATGATCTGGTGAGAGACAGACCTGTGTCTTTGTGGAAATGAAAGATGACAGTGTTCCATAAATTCAAGGTCATGTATCATTAAGTGCATTCCTCTTAGTCTCTCTCTTAGCAAGTATGCTGGGTGTAGCGCAGTGAAACTGGAGCACACGTGTTCAGTCTAGCTGCATATGATGCTTGTTATTGCATGTAGATATGGAAGGTAAGTTTTTCAGACAAGAGTTTTGTGTGACTTCAAAGAGGTTCTCCTGAACGTCCTTTGATTTCTTACTGGATCAGATGCCCAAGGGCTCCTTGGAGACTGACTGAACAGCCAGGGTTCCCCCTGCTGGCTGCCTGTGTTTGGAAAGTACTCCATCAGCGAGCTGAACGAGAACTGTAGGGAACATTCATATCAAACAGGCTTCTGTCGTTCACAAGACAATCGTTACAGCCTTTGTGGTATCACTGCCTTACAAATGTAACATTACATCTTTGTAATGAGGTGATATTGGGCTAAGGGAAATGGCTTTGCTCCAGGTGAAATACAAGCAGTGATTCTTACTGTAAGGAGAAAATGCTGTGGCTGTTTCATTTGTGGCACCAAATAGACGTGTGTTGCAGGGCATTGCTGGGCAGAATGAATGAAATCTGTTAGTTTTGAAACCACACGCATTTTGAAAGTTACTTAATAGCTCTGGATGATTACATCCTATCACAAGCCTCAATTATTGAAGATTGTTTTGCAAGGAATCCACAGGAAAACATCACAGTATGGGGGTGAGACCCGAGTAGAAACATCCACTGCATGCATATCTTTGAACACATGAGCTTTAACGTCTTCCCCTTTGCAAATGGAAGCTTTTATTTGACTCATGCGGTGCTTCACTTAAAGAAGAGAGTAAATGTTGATGTTTTTATCTTATTAAAAACATCTTTTCATCCTCATTCTGAGAGTCATTGAGGGAAAGCAGTATTTTCATTTGTGCCCTGAAGCCATAATGCAGGCTTTGCAGAAGGCAGCATATAAATTTGTGGATATAAAAAATTGTGTGTGTGTGTGTGTATGTATGCATTAATCTGTGGTAACACATTTATACCTTCACAACTCTCTTGTTACACAGCAAAGCAGTGTTTGGATGGGCTGGAAAGCTGCCAAATGAAACCTATGCTGTTCAGAAATGGAAGTAATGGGGTAGTGGGTAAAGTGCAGCTTAGCGAGTGGAATCATCCACACATTGCTCTGTATAACTCCAAGGAAAAGAATAGGAGCGCTGACTGATTGGAAATACATGGAAGTTTTGAGTTAGTTCTCTCCAATGAAATATGTTAGCTTAACCTCAGCTATGCCCTGCTTTCCTCTGAAGCAGATCTCTATTGCTTCCTCAGCCATTTCAAAATCGTTCTTCTCTTTAGCTCTCCTAGGCTCTTGATCTGGGTCAGCTGTTTGTTGTTGAGAAGAATCTTTGCAGGAAACCATCTCCATTGCTGTACTGAGCGTTCCCAGAAGCTGACACCTGGGCTTCTTGCATCTGCCCAGGTTGTATGTGGTTCTGCTCGGCCTTCTGAGCACTGAACTGGTCTTGGTTCCTGGTACTTTTCTTGCTCCTAAATGCTGCTTTGGCTCCAGTCTTTGTTTCTCCTGGGCTGCTTTTAGCGTAAGTTTGGTTTTCTGAACCAATAAATTCCAGGAAAGTTCTGAAGTCATAGACCAGCTGTTTGTTTAGACTTTGAGCTGGTCCCAGATATGTGATTGCAGGGTCAGTTTTTGTTGTCTGAGCCTTACGTGGGTTTTTGCTTGAAGTCAGACACCTTTTCTCACAGAAGGAGAACACTGAACTTATTGGAGCTTCTGAGCCGTACATTTCTCTTTTACTTTTTTTCCTCTGCTTTTTGGGAGAGGTGCAGATGCAATCCAGTCCTTCAAACCTCAGTTGGTGCCTTGCTTTTTAGAGGGGTGGAGTTGCTTCCATTTATTTAAAGTCCATAAAACTGTACCTGCAAGAAACTGTCTTGATCTGGAAGTGCGTTCACCTTTCGTTTGAACAGTTTTGATCTCTCTACTTAAGTAAGTGGCTGTTTTAGGTTCATTAGAGAAATTGCTAATGAGAAGTATCTCAAAGGTTTAAGAATTACCCTTCTGACATTGTTTTGCCTTCTCTTGTACTTCATTATCTAATGATTCCTTCTGAACCTTTGCTTTACAGATTGAGGAGCGGCCAGAAAAAGATTTTGAGAAGGTAAGAAGGATCATGTGAACTGCTCTGACAACAGCACAGCTATTTTTTCTGTCTCAACTTGTAGTGAGTTTGAATTAGCAGAGCTTTCTATTACTCAAATCATATCACAGAATGGCCTGGGTTGAAAAGGACCACAATGATCATCTGGTTCCAACCCCCTGCTGTGTGCAGGGTGACCAACCAGCAGCCCAGGCTGCCCAGAGCCACATCCAGCCTGGCCTTGAATGCCTGCAGGGATGGGGCATCCACAGCCTCCTTGGGCAACCTGTGCCAGTGTGGCACCACCCTATGGTTTTTGAAGACAGACTTGAAACCATCATGGTCGTTCAGGGGTTAAGTTGACATTTAACAGCACTGACATTGCTACGGCTAAGCCATGTGAATATTGGTTTTGTTTAGTAGAACTTAATGGTGGTATTGCATAAAAATAGATAAAATGAAGTTCTTACTGCAGCAGTGAGAAATTGGCCTTACCCCCACTACTCTAACACAGCGTTGCCACTGCTGCAGAGTAGCAAGTACAAATGAAAGCAGAAGAGTTTGAGGAGTAGTCAAAAGCATCTACGACATAATACAAGTTCTGAAAGTGTCTGGCAAGATGGTCCTAGCCCCTAAGGATTTTGTCTAATTGAGAGTTAATACTTAGAAGTTGACTTGTGCACAATGATAACAATGTTTAGCTCTAGTCTCCTTTTTCTCATTACCTCTTCTTGCTAAAACTTGATCTCAGTACTTCCTGAGAGATGTTAATGGAACTTGCATTAACATGTAGAAATGCATGGGTTCTTCTTTCCCAGCCTGATGTTAAAGCTGCCCTTGCTGATGAGCTGAGTAACAGCAGCTCCCATTCCCCTGGATTTGGTTTTAGCACTCATTTCTAATGTTTCCAGTGGCATTAGAGACCAGTGAGGTGCCAAAGACACAGTTGCTGTTTTGTCATTTATCTTTATCAAGAGATAAATAGTGCACGTTATGTGCATTAAAAATAATATGTAGAAGAAATATTCACAACCCTATTCAACTGTTTGTGATTCCAGGGAGCACGTACTGTCTCAAGTCTATCAGCAGCTACCTTAGCTTCCTTGGGTGGGACTTCTTCACGAAGAGGCAGCGGGGATACGTCCATCTCAGCAGATACAGAGGCATCTATTAGAGAAATAAAGGTGAGCTGTTCTTAAAGCCAACATAAACTGTATTGAACCATGGCTTTTTTTATCTGAGTGCCTGGGTAGTCCATAACTAAACTCTTTTGGGTTTTTTCTGAAGATTGCTTTAAGGCTGCATTCTGAAATCTATTTTTAAATTGGAAATGTGTGTTCTGTTAACTTTCAGTCATTACAGCAAGTTAAAATATCTGGAATTCCCACTGGAGAGCTCAGATACGAGCAGTTCAGTTTCAGCACCATAAGAAAGCTGAAAGCAATCGTTTGGTGGTGACCAAGGACAAAGAGGAGAGGCATAGGCCTTACAATGCATTTAATGTGATGGATGGATTTTGTACAGTCTCTTATAGTGCTAGTACAGCCTGTATTTCAGACTTGCTTGGACAGCTTCAACAGAAGATACCAGAATTCCCCAAAAAGGATGATAGTGAAAAAGGGTAGAGAAGGGCTCTGACTGGGACACATTGGAGACCTAGAAGTTGGAGCTGTGTCTTGGCCTTGTTGTTGATGTCATGGTTTTTCCAGTCAAGAAGAGAAGAATTAGGATACACTTCTAACCCAGACATTCTACTCTCTAGCAAGGCTTTCAGATTACAATCAGACTGCTTCACTTGTGTTGTAGAAATACTTACATGAGAACTTTGGATACTTGCTCTTCCATGTGCGTTTGTACCCATTTAGTCTCAGTGACATCACTGACCTTTCTCACCGTTTCTCTCAGGATATCTATGAGTTAAAGGAGCAGATTCAAGATGTAGAAGGCAAATACATGCAGGGACTGAAAGAAATGAAGGTACTGGTGTACTGCAGTGTGAAGTGTGCTAATTAACCCCAGCTAAAAGTTCACAGAGCCAGAGTGAGACCTAGCACTGACCTTGCACACTTTTCTTCTGGGAGGGGTTGTACACTGTGGAAAGCATTGCATTACCAGGAAAAGTGTCCCTTCTGGTGTCTGTTGATTGTGGTGAGCAATGCTTCCAAATATGAACTGAAAGACTGCTGATTGCTATTGCATGTCTTACTTGATGTTCTGAAAAGGTAATCATTCTGCTTGCAAATGAAAATTACTAGATTGTGGGTGTTTTTTTTAAATAGCTGTGTAACCCAGGAAGCTTCCCAAAATTGAAAGCTGGCACCAAGGAAGCACTTACAACTTCCACAAAGCTAGAAAGGAGTTTTGATGCAACGACTAACATGCATCTCCGGTGATTTGTACCTAAGCCACAGCAAGTCTCAATAGCAGTGTTTAATTCTGGCTTTACATGGATGTAAAGGTGTCCAGGTGCCCAACTGTGGTGGAACTTGGTGCTAATAAAACCAAATGCAGCATGCTGAAGGAGTGCTGCAGCAACTCCCTTAACTTACTTACATATACTTCCTTTCCAGCTAATTTCTGAGATTAATCTTTCCACTGTTTCCAAATAGTGACTGCTTTCCTGTGCTTAATATTTCTTACCCTTGGGCTGGAAAGCATGCCAAAACACAACTTGTGTTTCAGGAGATAAATTTATACAGGCTCAAAGACAAATGCTCTTATTTGTCGATAGAAATAGAAAATAAACTGGTTCAGAATTACTGCTGTGATCATCTCACTCCGTCATCCCCAGCTCTGTTTATTGAATGGAATGGGAAGTACATGGAAGTTGCCCTTGCTATAGGGGCAGTGCCAATAGTGCTGAAGTTACTAGAAAAGTTGCTTGATCTGGAAACTAAAACAATGTGTGTCTTAGCATATTCTCACTGGTTTGCCCATGTAAGACCTTTGTCACCGTATTAAAATCAAGTACTGCAAGTTTGGCTGTGCAGCATGGGAATGGTCCTGATCTTTATTTTGCCACTGTCTGTTGTTACAAACATCTCAGTCTCTTGTATTCAGGCCAAGTTGTTAAGATGGGTTTTCAGGACGCTGGGATTTGTATCTTACAGAGTAAACTTGTTAAGATGGAAAGCGATTTAGGAAACAAAAATGGTGCATCACATCACAAAAGCTGCAGCTTTCACAGCAAATGTTAACTCCTGAGTTAGTGTGCTTAGTTATACCAGTGTCTCCTACCTCACACTGAAATTTGCCTGAAGTGGCTGTTAAACTGCCTTATGTTAAAGCCTACCCCACTGAGATTGGATGACCTAAAATGATCTTAAATCAAGGTTAGTTTACCTTTAAAGAAAAAGAATTTGCAGCTTGTCATATCTTCATCAGCTGCTTTGAGCTGCCAGCATTCAGGGGCAGGGGGAGGAGGGAGAAGGAAGAAAACCCTGAGAAAGCAGGAGCTGAAGCAGCAGAGAACAGGAAGCATTTTAATCCACCCCAAGGTAAGGTTTCTTGCTCGTTAACAGAAGTGGGAATGCAGGGGAGGTTATCCTCACCTTGGGACAGCTGCTAAGTCTGTCCTGCAGATGATTAGTTTCAACAGGACTACTGAGGAGGCTTGTGGTTTTATACCTTCATTTTCTCCCTTAAGGTCTGGGCTGGCAGAGCGATGTTTTGTAGCTGACCTCTCACTGTGGTTGCTTTGTTCTTTGCAGGACTCTCTAGCTGAAGTCGAAGAGAAGTACAAAAAGGCTATGGTGTCAAATGCTCAACTAGACAACGAGAAAACAAATTTCATGTACCAAGTAGATACCCTGAAGGATGCACTCTTAGAGTTAGAGGAGCAGCTCGCGGAATCCAGGAGGCAGTATGAAGAGAAGAGTAAAGTATGTATACAGAAACGGCGTGTTATTTAGCAGTGAAAGACTTGTGGGGGGCTGACATCTTTGAGAGGATGAAAGCAAATCACTATTCCAGATTTTAAATAAGTTATTTTTTTACAGAGCAGCATGCTGTGTGCTTGCAGTCATACGAGTAGAATTTTTCCTTTGGCTTGTGTTTGAGAAAGCAATTTCTGAAGTGAAGAGATATTTAATATGGGAAGGATACACTGTAGTACTACTATAGTATCAGACATCCTTTTGTACTGTACATTGGAGGTGAAGGTTTTGTTTGTGGTAATTTCTGGAGTATTTTAAGGCATGAAACTCTCTTCCAAAGAGAGCTGTGCAGCTTGTAGATTTAAAGCAGCTGCATGGTTGAGCATGGCATTGTTTTGCATGAATTCAGCATCTCAGAGCTAGTAAGCTGGTGTTAAATAATGCATCTGGTGCTTGGGTTAGCTTCTCTGAACTGTCCCTTTAGCATGGGGGCATTTTACTATAGTGTGCTGCAAAGCATACGGTTCCTGGAAGATTTGGTGGTTGGTTTGTTTAGTTTTTGTTGCTTCACTGGTTGTCTTTTTATCTGTTTTGTTTTGATTTGGGTTTGGCTTTTTGTTTGTTTGGGGTTTTTTAAGTCCTTAATGCCTAGTGAATTTTTTGCACTGTTCTTACATAGGAAGTGGGGGTTAAATTCCCATCCACTCATCTGTGAAGTCAGTAGGAGTTGGGTGTAACAGCTATTCACAGGCATCGTGCTGCTCAGTTTGTGAAGCTGGCTAAACGATGTCTGTCACTTCTATGTTTGATGTAATGTATCATTTCTTTGGGAAAAGGACAAATAAGACAACAATAAAACTGTACTCTTGTGGGACTGTGATTAGGAGCACATTGAGGAGTTGCGTGGCAGGGAGCATTTTCTTGGTTGCTGGGCTTATTTCCTCCAGTTTTTCCTGGGATGCTATTTTTGATCGATTACATCTCATGAATTTTTCATCATTCATAGGAATTTGAGAGAGAGAAGCACGCTCATAGCATATTGCAGTTTCAGTTTAAGGAAATCAAAGAGGCTTTGAAGCAAAGAGAAGAAATGCTTGCAGTAAGTAACTTCATTCTTTTTACTGGTTCGTTTGATCGGTGTGTGCCCAGTTAGCAGTAACAGTGTAGAAAGGAAGGAATTTTGTTCCCCTCTCAAGTTTCTCACCTGAAGAAATATTACTGTTCCAGGCCAAGCAGGTTCAGACTAACTTACAGGAAATAGTATTTTCCTAAGTATTATCTGAAATTGTAATGTCCACGATGTGAAATAAGCTGTTTTCTCAACAGCTGCTTTGTGGAGATGTAGAGGAAAGCAGTGGAACTGTCTGACTTTGTAAATCAGCTTGCGAATAGTAAGGTTGCCTTAGGAGAAGCATAGATTGAGCTGAGGTGTGAGAAGTTATGATATTGTGCATGCAGATACCCTTTTACTTCACCTGACTTTGTGTTCTTTGGCATCGCTGCAATCTCGACTGTCTTTGTTAACCTGTTCCCTACTTTCTGTCTTCTCATTTTGCTCCTGTCTCTCAGGAAATCCAGCAGCTGCAACAGAAACAGCAGAGCTATGTCAGGGAAATTTCTGATCTTCAGGAGACAATAGAGTGGAAAGACAAAAAAATAGGGGTAGGACTGTCAACTCCTGAAGTGTGTTCAGAGTGTCGTTCTTCAGCTGATCCTGCTTTTGCAAAACCCCATGAATAATAATACTCCTGAGTGACCCTGCTTGGTGTGGCTGGCTTAGTATATTTCCAGTGAACTAGCAAGTAGTGCATTTTGTCTTTGTTCAACACCATAAAATCCAAGAAAAACTTAGCAGCTGTTCTGAATTCGAAACGCAGGGGTTTTTATTTGCCATGGTGCTTCATTTGTGTCTGCTGTACTGAGAAGGAAAGTGCTATTTATAATGCTGTCAGCACTGGTGTTTTGCTTGTTTGGATTCAATCTGCAGACTGGAGTGTGATCAAGAAGCAATAGAGCTCTTTGTGGCCTGTGGGGATGAAAGTCCCGAACTCTCCCTTGCTTCTCATGCCTTCCCACCACCCCTTATCAAAGCCAAATGGAAACACACTCTTAAAAAGAAGCATTGCTTTCTTTTCTAGCAATGAATACTGGAAGAATTTCTGAATATAGAAGGGAAACAAGTCATACTGCTGACGTCCAGTAACTTCTTGCGATTTGAAACTCAAGTGTCTGATTTTTGTTACTGTTCTATTTGTGCATTTATATAGGAAATATCAAGGCGGATCCATACTAGATGACACCTTTGCAACACATCCCAAAGTCTGGATGACTTAATTGCAGTTTTCAAGTTAATTGAAATGTAACGCAGCCATCATAGTAGCCTGTGCAATTAATAGCCCTTTTACAGACCATTAAAATGTCAGGCCTGCTTTCATGCTCTTGTCTGAGTACATGGGAATCGCTTTATGTCTTCAACGTACGCGTTGAAGTAATATGAATGGACTCATCTAGCAGATAAGAGGGAAAAGTAGATCCTCATTTGAAGGATTTCTAATGAAGCTTGGGCTCCGAGTGTCTTTAATAGGAATTCCTGGAGCTGATTATTACTGAATAAGCTGTGCATTTCTTGGATTTGAAGCTTGTCTGTGTGTCTGAAAACTTGGTCCTTTAGTCTTTGAACTTTACTTTTTCCACATATCACTTCCACGAATCTTTGAATATCTTAAATCTGCTCATTCTTGTTTACACTTGCTTTTCATGGTCTTTACTTTTCTCCTTTTCCTCTCTTCACATCTCTTCCCTCTCTGTCTGTGTTGTGAACTCAGGCCTTAGAGAGGCAGAAAGATTTCTTTGATTCCATAAGGAGTGAGCGGGATGACCTTAGAGATGAAGTGATTATGCTGAAGGAGCAACTGAAGGTATGCAAGAGGAGTAAGAGAAGCTTACTGCTTACTGACTGCTGACCTTTCCTTCCTATGCATTTTTGTAGCTGAGTAGCGAGAACTCTTGCCGTGTTGCCTATAAGTTGCCATTTCAGGCATTTTCTGATAAAGTCCTTCCCCCTAATTGATTGTGAGCTCTTAGTAGAGCCTGTAATGTTCAGCATTGAACTGTTGCTTTTGTAGGAAACTCATCTCTGAGAAGCCCTTGACACAGCAGAATTATGCTTAAAGATCGAAGCCTTGCTGGTATCACGTGCTCTCTGTGATGCTGGCTAAACAGAGAACTGTAACATCCTGTGCTATTTTCTGACTTCCAGCCATTTGTAATGGAGCAATTGAAGCAATGATTTGATCAGAATGTCAAGGACGAGAGCATCTGAACGATCCTACTCTTAACTGAGCAGCAGGCTTTAAAGCGTTGCTTTTGCTTCCCCGTAGAAACATGGAATAATCCCAGACTCTGAGGTAGCCACCAATGGGGAGGCATCAGACGTTCTTGATAATGAAGGACACTTGGATTCTTCCAAAACAGTTCAAGGCACAACGCAGGCATTAAAGACAGCAGGGGACGGGATGCTAGGTAAGTGCTGGCTGTCCTTCTGTATCTTTCTGTCTGTCTGCCCGCTCATTCCTCTCTGCTTGGAGTTTGGGCTTTTGTCAGTGGGACAATTAACACGTCACGCAGCATGCCACTTGTTGAATCACTTGTGCTTCACATCACGTTGTGCATTTTCCTGCTTCATATTTAGTATCACTTCAAGTGTGTTGTGCAGTTTCCTGCAAAAGCAGACTTCATTCCCCCTTGGAGGTGACAAAGGACAAGAATACCAATATTACACGGTACAGATAAGTAGCAGTCATTTGGATTACTATTTAAACTCTCAACTGTCCCAAATTCATGTCATTCAGCGTTTTTCTGCACGCATCTTAAAGAATCAAGATCAAAACATTTTAGTTTCACATAAAAAGCTTGTATGTTGGTTCACTTACGTACCTGAGAACTGTCAGCGTTTGCTGAACAGAAACGGTGGTCACCATTAAAACCCTCTGGTGCATGAATTCTTTATTCTTGGTATCTCATACTGTTGAGCAGTTCCTTTTACCACTTCAGCCTCTTATGATGGAATGAATGCCATTAAATTTAATGAATTTGACTCTGAGACAGATGCTGTAAGGAAGGAGAAATCTGGTTGGCAAAAACTTCCTCCTTGTCCAGTTGTGATGAGTGACCACTCAGAGAACTGTTAAAATAGCAAAAGGGATTTTTGTTGTTACTGCTCTAAATCAGTATCATAGTAAATAGCAAGAAGCAGACAACAGTTGCAAGTGCAATTTATCTTGCTGTTGGCTGCTTTTTCCTCACTCTGTTTTTGTATGGAAACAATATGGAGCACCAAAATCAAGGTAAGGGTATATATTTAAATGTAATATGCCTTCTGTCTTTCCTTATTCTGTTTATTTGAAAACAGGTACAACATAGACTCGAAAGCTAACTGCTGAAGCTGCAGTGTTGATTTAGTACCTGTTGCTTCTAAGTAAAGTTGGAAGAAAACAACAACCAACCTACAGAAGTCCCCATCCCTTTGAGTGGATGGAGTGGCACTAAGTGTCTGTGTTGGTAATGTTGAACAGCTGAAACACGTGCTTGCCAATCAGGTTTATATATACGTGAACACTGATGGTGCCTGTGATGAAATCCTACCGAGTTACTCTTGCTTACTTCATTTACTGGCATCAGCACACTCTTGCATGCACCGCTGTTAGGCTTCAAGCTGTAGAAAATAACTGCCCAGGAAATGCAGTCTTTACAGTTACAGAGTTACATCTGCAGATACCCTTGTTAAATTGCACTGCTTGAAACAGAGTTGTTTTCATCTCCAGAAGCTGTAATTCACATAGCCAAGAGCATAGATCTTGACAAAAACACAGGCCAGCACTGAAGGCTTTTCTTGCTTTGAGAGGGTGGTGGTGGTGAATTTCACTGATCAAACCCACCCCCTTACTAATTCAATTGCTGCTTTGCCTCACGTAATTGGCAAAAGCTGATCTTCCATTAACCTGCTCTTTGATTCATTCTCTTTCGGGTTTTAAGTGGGGAGGTAAGAGCTGTGGTGCGGTCCCTTCAACTTTCTCAATGGTCTTTTAGGCAAAGCCAAGGAAGTGGACATGAAAAATGAGATTTTGGAGGATGTGGGGAAAAGAGAAATCTTGCAGAATTCTGAGCGTGAGGAACACAAAGAGGAGTCTGAGGAACAGGAAGTACAGACATTGCATGCTGATGAAAATACAAAGGCAGAAAAAATGATTGAAGAAACTGATGCTCTGTCAACAGTGACGTTACCAGATAGTAGGTTCACAGAACAAATTCAAAGCCTTACAGAACCCGTGTCAGGGAATGCTTCTTCAAATGATGATAGTGATGCAGGTGATTTGAGAAAGGAGACGCAGTCAGCAGACGCAGCAGCCCAGCAGCCTGTTAGCGAGGAGGTGGAACACAGTAACTTAAACCCAAGGACGACTGAGAACTCAGAAATGGGCTCACTGCAAGGTCAGGGTTTTGAGAGTCCTCAGGAAGCGCACAGTGACTTAGGTGTAGAGCATGAACTGGAAAAAGCTGCTCCACAGCAGGAAGAAGGGGAGGATGTGGAAGCTAGCCATGCACTGAGTGCTAATGAGGTGGAGCAAGCAGCAGGCAGTGCAGGTGACAGCGGTGAGACGGTATCTGGCCGGTCAGGGCTACCAGAGCCTGTGCTAGCAGGCTCACGTAGTGAAGAGGTAAAGGTGGAGGGCCATGCTGAAACACTCCAGAGCTCGGAAGAAAGTGCTGAAAACAAAGTGACAGAGGTCTTGGAGAAAGCTCTTGTCGAAAGCAAAGACTGCACTGATGGAACAGCTGATGAAACTGGAGGTGATAGAGCTAGAGAACAAAATGAGGTTGGGAGTGCAGTTCAGGGTCAGAAAATGAAAAGAGATTCCACGGGCTTAGAAGGGGAGGAGTCGTGTGAAAGTGGTGCCCCATCAGATATAAATGAAGAGGGAGGAGATCAGGCACACATCCAGCCAGTTTCCTCAGAGGATGGTGAGTTAGCATTATTAGAGGAGCAGAATACACAGGAGCAAACAGAACTTAAACCTGCTGAGAAAGATGGACAGGAGGCGTGTTCAGATTCTGCAGAAAAGCAGGAGAAGGCATCTGGGGAGTCTGTGGGCTCTGCTAACAAGGTAGAAGGAAGTGCACTGCATCAGACAGAGCCAGACACGGGCACTGTGAAAGAAATGGCATCTCAGGAAACAAGTTTAGACCCAGGCTTTTCAGATGATGGAATCGAGGAAACAGAAATGCAAACAGGAGACGTGTCTGGGAATGGAGAGGAAAACAGAATAGAATGCTTAGAGCGTAATAGAACAGAAGACTTAAAGCCAGAGGCAGAGCTTCAAACAGTTCATTGTGGTAAAGAAACAACAGGTGATACAGAGGATGAGAAAAATAGTTCTCTAGAAAGTGAAGCACAGAATGTAGTCCAACATGAGGAAGGTGAATCTAAAGAGGAGTCCATTGTATGTCATAGTGTAACTAGTGAGAACCAAGTAGATAAAGAAGCACTTAAAGAAAATAAAAGACATTCAGAGCTTGCAGACCACCAGGGTGATGAACTTACTTCTATGGAAGATGCAGGTAATTCTCTTGCACAGAAAGCTGAGCTGGATGAAAACGTTAGTGAGCAACTTAGACTAGAGGGCCAAGCAGAGGAAGAACAAGAAGACGATGGTGATGCATTTGATTTTGACGAGGATTCAGAACAGACACTGGAAACTGATGAAAAATGCGATGGAGAAGAAGTTGATGCACAGAGTGAAGAGGATGACAGAACAAACAGCGTGATGAGAAAAACTGCCCAAACAGGCGAAGAGGGAGAGAGAACTGGCAAAATAGAAACCATGGACACCTTGACTGAAGGTGACAGCTTACAGCATAACAAAGGAAATGAGTCTGAAGAAACAGGGCGCTTGCAAGAGGAAGCATCAGCACTGAAAACTGACGAGAAGGCTGATGTGTTGGCAGGTGAAAACAAAGCATCAGATTCTAATGAAGCGGAAAAGGCACCAGGTGAAAATGTTCCAGAGCAGGATTTGGAAAGTGCTGGCTGTAACAGGGCTGAAAGCAAAGAGGATTTGCGAGGTGGTAGGAAGGGCAAGGGTAAATCTAAAGATGACTGTACAATGTCCTGAGTTCTGAATTTCAGTCCATACAAGTTAGAAGCCATTTGATCAGGCTCTGTACCGAAGCACGCGCTTTGCACGATAAATCAGCCCTTAGGAATATAGGAATACTGTTAAGGAGTTCATTTTTTCCTTGCAGGTAGATCTCATAATACACTGTTTGGTCATGTAAGCGGTGATAATGCAAATATTAGATGATTCACTGATGTACCTAGCCACAAAAAATCATCCAGAGGTTTGGTTTTGCTGTGTCTCAGGTTAAATGTGTGTCACCAAACAAAGCAAGCTTCACAAAGGAACTGATCAGGCTTTTGCACTTGAAGTACTTCTGGTGTTGATAACTGCTGCTGAGGAGCTTTTGTATGAAATTCCTACTTTCTAGCCTGGAATAAAAATAGATTATCTGAACGTGCTTGTATGTGCAATAGGACTACAATAAGAATGTTGATGCTTTGTCGTGAAGGAACTTGGAAGATCAGCAACACTTAGATGTAATGCTGACATTTGTTGCTGAGCGGTTAAAGCCTAGGAGCCCTTTCCCATAGCAAAAGAAGAAGAAAAAAAGATGCCCTCATTCCACTTTTTGTATGTATGTTTCTTAAAAGGACATATTCCAAACTATTGGTAGATCACTGTGAATTAAGGCTCAGCTTTGGAGGAACAGTAACACGATTTGAAGGAAATGCAACATGTAGGTTGCTGAAGGGAGCAAACATGTACGTGTTTACTTCATCTGGGCACTTTGCACCACAACAGGCCTTTTGCACCATGTCTCACGTGGGTTTTGTATTTTTTTCCTAAGAAAGTGTCAGTACACACTGTAACGTGCTTAGGTTTGCTATCCAATACTGTACCTATGAATATATAAATATATTTTTAAAACAAGTGTTCAATATTGCATTCCTTATTGCATTATATATATATATTTTTTTGCAAAAAATATTATGAAAGAATGGTTTTCTTTGAAAAATTCTTTCTTCCTCTTTTTCTGGAGAGACGGTAACTCAGGATGTCTTAATCCTCATGGATGTCAGACCAAAGGCTGTTTTTCCACATATGAGCCCCCGTGCCTTTTTTTGGAAAGCTGGATTACCTTGTATTACTGGCATCAATGAGACACTTCAACCCATTGATGTATTTCCACTTGCGTTTTTACAGTGCTTGGCAGGAAGATGATGTTTTGCATAATTAATAATTAGCTGGAGGTTGTATGAAGCAATGAACATGCAAAGGGAATGCAAGTTGAGGAGCTGGGGGGCTACAGAAGGTTCTATCTGTTGATGTTACAAAGTTGACAGAGTTCAAATAGACTGCAAAATTACAAGATGTATATCAAAGTGTACTGAGCTGTATATAATTAAAATAAACATATTTTATACTTCAAATTGTCTGTCCGGAGCACTCTTTATAAACTTGTGTAAATATTTGTTTAAATCCTTCTCACTTCAAAAACCCTTTTCTCGAGCTTTCTTTTTTAAATACAAGTATTGCTTTGTGCTACGTAGATGATAGAGCTGTCCTGTGAGGAACAGGCAGCCTTTGAGGACGTTCAGTGTTTGAGACCATAGCTCTGCACTTGTGACAGCACTGTAAGCCTGTAACTCTTTTCATATGGCTTCTTTCCAGCTTAGAGCAGCTTCAGTGTGGTTTCTGTAAGTATTAGCAGTTGTTCTTACTGTTACACTTAATTCTAATCTAAAGAGTCACCGTTCTCTAAAGCATCATTTCTTATTATATAGCATTGTGTAAGTAAGATTTTTTTCTTTGCCACGCTCAGCTGTAACGTATGGTTTAATGTTGAAAGTATTCTAAATGTGTGTATATTTAAATGTTACAGTGTTATATTTAACTAAATTCATGCCAGACTTTGCCTAAACTTGTGGATGGGTCTATAAACAACTCTCATTGAAATGAGGCACTTGCCAGCATTTCCTCTATTTTTCATGAGTTTGTTTCCAACAGGAGTGCTGCTTGATTGTTGAAGGGCAATTAATGGAGACCTATTTTTAACCATTTTTTCCACTTCAGAAAATACGGCGTCCTTAGAGAAGTCCCTCTGTAGAGCTAAGTCATGGAAAGAGATGACACCTCCAGCCTTAACTGCCCTTGTGCGTGCTCTCATCCCACAGCACCTTGCCAAATCTCAATGATACTAGGGCAGGAACAAGAACATGGGGCAGGGGATGAAGAACAGCTCAGGTATCATAAATCTCCCCATGAATGCTGCCTCTTGGAACCCGTGTCGGCAGCTGGTCCTTGCCTTCTGGAATCGGACAGGTACCATGAAGAAGGAGGTGATCTGGGTGTTTCTGGCTCTTCTCTTCTTGCTGGAATCTTCTTTCCTGCTGCAGTGAGCGCTGGTTGCAATGCATAGGGCTTTCATCTCTCAAAAGAACTTCAAACACTTATTGGGTTCTGAGTTTGAGACCTAGGGGCACGCATAGCCTGGAGTGCTGGGTTTATGCGTACTGTGACTTCACAGCTAGCTTCAAGTGCTGTCAAAAGCAGTAGCTGAAATAACTTTGGTATTCAGCAGGTAACAGTGAAAGGCCTCAGTCAACAGTCCCTTTGAAAGAGTGGTCCTGCTGTCACCTTCAAAATCTATGCTGTAAAGCCAGTGCCTTCTAACTCCAGTGCTTATCTTCACGCTTGCTCATGAACTTCCCTCTTCTGGGGAAGAGTGGAAGGCGTTCTGTTATTATTCTTCTTAATTTAAACGATGTAGTATAAATTGACAGCTTCAGAGTAGTGGTATTGTCCAGCCTGTTGTTGGATCCCTGCAAGCTGATCGGAATAGCTGCTTGAAACCGCTGGTGTATTTTCAGGGGTTGCAGCCTTTGCTGCTTGCCTTCCCATCCTCCAAGGACAGCTTACCCTTTTCAGCTGCACTGCCATTAATTACTTGGTAGACCATGCAAATCATTCAAGTTACCAACAGCTGCATCCCACTGCACACTATCCTCAAAGTAGGAAGAGGCACCGGGTATCTGTGGGTGATCAGGGGATATCAGCTCAGCTTTGCCACTGAAGCAGCACAGTGAGTCAACCGCTTTCCCAAAGCGATGACAATGGTCGTGTGGCTTCAAGAGCCTGAGCAACAGCAGAAAGCACTGGTAACCACAGAGCTGCCACCATCCCACCTGTCCTGTTGTCAAAAAGAATGGCACTGCGCCTGGCCTGCTCCTGTCCTTCCGTTAGGCAGGAATATTTCACCTCACAGCAGTGGCTGTGCTAATAAGTTATTTGACTCTTTGGAGTCCCTTAAGTTAGGGCTAATTTCTTCTGCATCAGTCCTTGTTCTCTTTGTCTACCGTTAGTAATTCCATTTCTTTATCTCTGACGAGCTCTGGCACCAACGCTTATCTGAATACCTGTGACCTTCCTTTTACTGTTTGCTCTCCTTGCTTTTTTCATTGGATTTCATCTTCCTTCCCTGTCATCTTTTTACAGGATGTGTCTTCAGCCTCTTTCCATGTAGGCAGATGAAACTGTTTTCTTATTTTACACTTGGTGTTTTTTTCTCGTTAGTTTACACAAACGTAAATGTATTTTTTTGTCTTGTGACAATGCTCACGTGTAAGAGCACCGGGTGTGTTACAAACAGCTGTGAAAAGGGATAGGACTTGAGGAGGTTCAAAAGGAATGCACAGAGCTGCTGTACTGGGGTGTTACGTTGATATCTGTATTTGGGTGTCGCATCAGAAGTTGAGGTCAAGGTTTGATTCCAGGCTCTGGAATCACTGCTGATACGGGGAACTTGTACATGCATTTATGACCTTTGCATTTTAACAATTGAGCAGCTAACAGGCAGGACCTTAGAGGTGGAGCTGAGCACGCTCACTGCCTTGGTTCTGCACAGTTGACTGCCTGCTGGCAAGGGAGGGAAACTAAAGAAAACTGCAACAAATGTGTGTGTCAAACCTAAATAACTGCAACAAACAGACATGTGGAGTAAGACCTATCTGAGGTCTGTATGTCCTCTTCTGATAAGAATGCTGGTTGGTGATGTTTGGTGTACTTCTGTTGAGGTGGCTGAACACGCTCAGGCTGTCAATTAATGAGGTAGAGTGACTTCAATTATCATAAAAACTGAGAGTTATCATTTGCTGCATACAGTACCTGCTAAAATACTTTCACGTGTTGCATTACTAGGAAAGAAGAAACGAGTGATTTGGTTACTCACTGCTGCTTTCCAGTTGTCTCATTGTGTATCGTGTTCTTTATTAAACAATGCCATGCACATCTGTTTGCTGATCTGCTGTACTTCCAAGTTCAAGTCACAAGGAGTCTAGATTGCCTGTTGCCTTCTTGATGTCTGACTGGGACGATTGACTGTGAAGGGTTAAAGAGCAAAGAATGCTTACCAGGCTCTTGAGTTTGAAATAAAAATAATGTCGTGGATAAATGCTTTATTTGTCACAGTACTGAAGATAACGCGATGTCATTTCATGCTGTTTAGTTTTCCTTTTGAAGTGAGGATTTTCAGCGCAGAGAATGTGCATAGCTATGATTATAGGTGTTTGTGGTGTTTTCATTGTGCTGAACTGTAAAGATTTGTGAGATTTTGTGTTGCAGCTGTTGTGTTTGACCCTAGAGTTCTTGCATGCTAACCTAACGTAGAAGATTAGCCTCTTTGCATGCAGTGGGTGCCGTGACAAGCATGCTCTGTGGGAATGACATAACCTCCCCTGGCTGCAGCCCCTTCCCAGTCCTGTTGTGGCCTCATTTCCCGTGGTACGTGCGTAACTACCTTCATCGTTCCCTTCACTAACCTGAACGGGTCCCTCTTGTATCAGATAACTCTGAAACGCGTGGCTCACTGAAATCAGCACTGAGCTTTCAGTTTTCTCTTTCAGAAAGGCTGAAAAAGCTCATTGGTGAACGAGAGTCCTTACTAGACCAGGTGAGCACGTGAGAACTGAAATGCTGTGTGTTCACTTAACGGATGATAAAAATAATACAATCTCAGGAAACCAGGATGCCCCTAACACAGACTACAGAACATACATGCTGTTCTTTCAGAACGTGTGCTGCTTTTTATTGCCAAAGACTTGGCTGCTTCCCTCTGGAATTCTCCTGTGCGTTAACACAGGGTGTGAAACGGATGACCCAGGGGCCTGTTTCGTGTTGCTAACATTCAGTGCTCTGAGTATTCCAGACTGCTGTCTGTAGCCACCTAAACCTCCTTCTCCATAACTATGTCTGAAAAATAATACTTTGGACTGAGCGAGGCCAAGGGGGAAAAAGCAAATATGGTCCAGAAATTAGAAAAGCAAATGTGACCTCCAAGAGTAAGCCTTCCTGATGGCTGGTTCTGTGGGCAGCAGGCAGTTTGGAGAGAATGCTGGTGGGATTACAGTAGATTGGTAAATAACAAAGTAATTATTGCTGATATCGCAATACAGTGGTTGTGATCTTCATGCAGAACTCTTGAGCTGATCTGTTTCTCTGTGTCACGCTCTATGCTTCCATTCACAGACAGTATCCTTGGCCTTGGGCTTTCAAGCACAATCAATCACAGTTTGGGGTTACTAAGGATGTTTTATGTGATTGCCTACAGAACAGTTCTGGCTTTTCTAATAAAACATTCTTCTTCCTCCTATTATTCTTGTCCCAAATTTACACATAAGCACTGATACTTAAACTATGGTGAGTCACTTGCCAGAAGAATTTCTGGGAAATGTAAGAAAAGATACATGTTTTTAATTTAGTTTGGAGGGAAAAAACTTCATAACATTCAGGAGAGTCCTGAAACAAGTGTCTTATTTTAATAATTGTGTACCTCAGGTTAAAAAATTAAAGGGACAACTGGAAGAGAAGCAGAAGAATGGCAAGTTGGAGAACGCGCAGTCTGAAGTAGAAGTTCTGGAAAATGGGACAGATATGCACATGATTGACCTCCAAAGTAAGCTGTGCTTTCATTTTGAGAGAACCTTTGTGTCGTGAATGAAGCTGAGAGAATGTGCCTGCACAATGGACATGTGGCCTGAAGTAAGAGTGAGCCTTCAGTCCCAAGGGAATTCCAAAATGGGAGCCAGCCAGGAAGCACCTCTGCTAGAGGGGAGGGAGCAATCCTTCAAACAAGAACGGGATGGGAAACCTCCTTCATGTTCTGCAGGAGAGCTGAGGATGAGTTCTGTGTCACACCTGGCTTCATTCCGCTTTGAGCGACCAGAAGGCAGTCAGACAGGGTTGGGGTTAGCTGCTATCTATCTGCTGGGCACTGAGTGGGTTTACCTGGCAGCTCTTAGCACAGAAGGAAACCCAAGGCAGGGAGCTGCTCTATCACTGCCCCAAGTAGTTTCCTGGAATGTGGAAGTGTTGTGACAGCTTTGTTGAGCCTTATTCTCACATCTCTTATAAATCTGCAATTCTTTTAGGAGAT